TTAGTACATATAACGATGATGAAAAATTCTGATGTACGGAAAAGCGTACGAGTGGGAATGATACACAAGATACTCTCTCGATAAAATACAGAATCATTTCATATTTTTCATTCTCAATAATCAACTCCCCTAATAACAAAGCACAAGAGCCCTTTAAACAAGACTCTTAAACTAAACCCTAGCTTATTCTTCAAGCTAAATATTAATAATAATAATAATAATAATAATAATAATAATAATAATAATAATAATAATAATAATAATAACCATCATAATTATTTTGCATCATTCTCCCCTGGTTGAGCAGGATTCGCCCTCGAATCCGACACGTTCCCGTTGGAGACGTCTCATGACATGAATAGCCCAATGTTTCCCCCTAATCGAACACGAAGGTTGAAGGTCGCCCAACAACCCCGAAAGTAAACATAATCTCGGGCAAGGATTGAACTGTTGCAAAGGCACATGTACACACCTTCATACGCATAACCCATACAGCTGAATTAACACAAAACATACCACATCGTTCGCTGTGCTCAAATCTATAACTACGGCCACGCATCCCATTGTTGGAAGACTTCGCGATAGACAATTGGAAAATGGCCCACCAGTTATTAAGCCTCGACTTCGGCACCCAAAAACCATCGTTGGCCAAGATACTCCAAACATCGGGCTTCAACGACGGTATCCCCGTCAAAGGCTCAACTTCTGCGACAACCCGCGTGGGACCCATATTGCTGCAAAAATATGTCTCCGTCACTAGAGGCTCCTCATCGAAAATAGGCAGACCGTCGTACAATGGCCCGTCATCTTCCTCAAAAACCACACCTTGTTGCCGTACATCTTGGTCGTCGTGCTCAGCAACGAGCTCAGTCTCGATGGACGGAGGCAGCCACTCTCCGAATGGATCCATCTCCGAGATGGTCTCCTCGCCGCTGCATTGCCGGACGACGGTTGTGGAGATGGACGACGGGGCGCCCCGCCTGGACCACGACCTCTACTTCCTCCGTGAACTCCCCAGCGCACACCCCAGTCGCCGGCGGCAAGGTTCATCTGCAAACCCCAGACCACGTTGTTAAGCGTCAAATGTAAATTCTCGATCCTCGTCGAAAGATCTGCAAACCAATCCGTGAAACGCACGTCCATCTTTTCAAATCGATAGTCGATCTATTGAAACCGATCGTTGAAGGTTGCATCACGTTGTTTGTTTGCGGCATCTTGTCGTCCCGGCGACCTCGCGAATCGTATTGACTGCTGATACCAACTGATGTAGGGAAAAGCGTACGAGTGTGAAAGATAAATGAGATGCTCTCTCGATAAAACACACAATCATTTCATTATTTCATTCTCAATAATCAATTCCCCTAATAACAAAGCACAAGAGCTCTTTAAATAAGACTCTTAAACTAAACCTTAGCTTATTCTTCAAGCTAACTAATAATAATAATAATAATAATAATAATAATAATAATAATAATAATAATAATAATAATATTATTATTATTATTATTATTATTATTATAATAGTAATAATAACCATCATAATTATTTTGCATCATTCTTCAGTGCTTCATGCATAGTTCAATCACGTGGGCTGGTATGATGGTCAAGTCTCAAGCTGAGGCATCAAGTGATGCATCCACATTCCCATACTTGGAGAATAAGTTCCTTGATGAAGGTAACCCTGCAACTACATCTCCTTCAACGCCACATTCATTTGTTCCTCTTCTGATCATGAAGTACCCATCCTGCAAACCATTAACAGCTTCGTCAACATTCCAATTCTTTTATTGTAGTTCAACATCAGAATTAAGCAGAAGCGACTAGCAGCAAAAATAAGATACTGCAATCATTTTTGGGTACGGATTAATGGTTCATTTAGTTCCCACGCGTTTCCTTAAACTAATGAAAAAAATCCTAAAGTTGTACTATTTAATATGCAGTGATAATAAAGTCCTCAATTCTACACATGCTGTAAAGATCTCAAGGAAGATTTCAACAGAGCACGCACATCACCCCAGCTTTTATTCCATTGATTTGCTAAAAGTTGCATGAAAAAAGTCAATCGTAAGTATGGATTGCAACATAAAATTATCAAAATGATTGAATTTTCAAGATTTAAATCCATTAAGTACCAAATAGTCCTCCCCTTCGTCGGTAGTTCCCCAACCAATCAGCTTAATTGCATGACCTCCCATTTGATCCCCTGTTAAGTGTTTATAAACTCTTGATTTGTAGTGAGCAAAATCCTACAACAAATTTGGAAGCACTGCTCAACCACATGGGTTTCAAGGTTGAAATAAAACAATATTGCTCGTACATGGTGAATGAGAATCCAAACTGTAACATAACTCCATGAGAATCAAGATACAAATCCAATCATTCGCTTAAAGCTTATAAAGTTCAGTAAAAAAAAGAGTAAGTTATGTTTTTTACCTCACACACGGTGAATGAGACCTCTACTGGTCCACTTAAGAAAATTTCAGCCATTATATTGTATGGACCAGAACTGATTTTATATGCATTGACACTGAAGTGCTTAGATTTGTGCCAGAAAAGGTTTTGTTTTTTCCATCTGTTTGGACACTTGGGAGTTGGATACGCAGGCTCGCAGCCAGGATGTGAGCATCCACTATTGTCAAAGTAGGGATCACGCTGTTAAAGAAAAACTTCATCATCAAGTGTTTTCATACACACATAAGTTCTATGACCGACTCATATTGGTCAACAGGCAGAGTGAAGCATCTCTACATTAGCACAATGACTTAGATGTTAGCATTCATAATTTTATAATCTGGCTTCTCCATATATTCTGACAGTAATATGAAACTTGTTTCTCACATAGACGCTGTGAGAAAATGCTACCTCTTCATTCACAACACCAATATGGACAAAGTATCTCCATGCTGATATGGGGTACCCTCCATCACAACCATCACCACACGTAATGCAGGTGTAAGCGTCCTGGTCCGGTTTGAACGGATAGATCTTGGTCCTCGCCGGTAGAACGCCGGAAACCTGCAAATAACTCTCACACCGGGGGTTGTGTCCGGTGAAGAGCCTCCGATGCTTAAGTCAGTATGTGTATGAGTATACTGGAATTGAGAGAATGAATAGAATGTGTTTGGGAAGAAAGGCTCACCTCCTTTATATAGGGTTGAGATACCTGGCCTAAGAGCTGCCCGGATGAGGTGAGCTGGCTGCCCAAGCTGCCCGTCCGTACTCTGACACGCCGCACACATGTCAGAGGTGGCGCAGGACATTGGGAGTTGTCAGAGGTAGTTATCACCATCACCCAATACATTGTCGACACGTGTTTCCCTAGCACATGGGGTAAATATTCTCTGGAGATTTCAGTCAGAGGCTCCTACGCGCGCCTATGATACACGCGCCCATAACTAGTTCGATTACGAATTCCTCGAAGCGATCACCCTGCTGGGATCAACTAGCTTGCTCGATCATTAGTCTGGTCGAGCGATGGATTGTTCGATCATAGTCTGGTCGATTCCCTGAATGTTCGATCTTCTCGCCTTTTGGCTCGGCTCCCTCTTAGTTTAACCTTCTCGACCGGCCCAGAAGACCGGTTTAGCTTTGTGTATATAATATCCCATATCATCTAGTCCACCCCCATTCTGGTCGAGTCTGGACGACTCGATCTAAGAGTGAATTGGTATTTATCGACCTCCCCGATGATTCGTCATTCAATATCGACCAAGTAATAGGTTTCCCGCTCACATTTTCAAATAATTTCCCATTAATTGCTAGTAATAAAGTCGTCTATTTCAAGTCCTTCCTGTCGCTCCTGCTTTTTCGCCACGCGTCACGCCTGTTCGCGTGTGTCAGGTACTTTAATGATGGCGCCCCCTCGTATAACGTGCCCACTTGGAGTACCGTGTAATTTAATTTTTCCTCCGCACGATCCAACTTTAATCTGACGGTCCTCCTTTTTCACCCTTTAAACTCTCCAAGGTATAAAACCGGTACTTAACAGAATTTCCGACTTTTTCCACCTTAATCTCTCCCAAATTCCTTTGCATTCAATGTTCTCTCTGCAAAAAATCCTAGCTTCCATCGGCGATTTTTCCTGCAATCTTCAAGTTTTCCCGATTCTCTCCTCCGTGATTATGAGTAAGTTGTTTTTCTTCTGATTTTGTACTTCCTGTATCTGGGCTTTTGTGTTTTGAGAAATTTTTTCTCTCTTTTCTTTTTCGAATTTGGTATCTGAAGTTTGCTGATCGAATGTTTTGAATCTGTGCATTGAATTTTTGTGCTTGTCTGTTGATCGTTGTAGATTTCGCTCTTCCCCTTTGAAATTCTCTCGGAATCCCTATTCTTTTTCTTCAAAATAGCCCCTTTCGTGGAACCCTAATTTTTAAAACCTTCTCCTCCTACCCTTCTCCTTTTTTGCCAAAATTCCTCTTTTTGATATTGTTCCTCTCTACTTTTATTTTTAGATCCTGCTACCTCGACCACCTCCTCTGGTTCAGTTGAGATCTTGCCTTCCGCACTTGAATCCGTTCCTCTCTCGATTCTTCGCCCCGGTGATACTGTTCCTACCCGTGTCTTCACAGCTCGTGTTGCTTCTTTCAACTCCGGCGACACCATAGATAACATTCCCCTCCGCAACCGTCGACCTCCTCTTGGTGCGCTAGATGAGACAGAGGAGGACGAGGTTATTTCTCCACAGCCAACTGCTCCTCCCCCTTCAAATTCTCCCCCTGAACAGTCCTCGACCAAAAAACTTTCCAAGCGCTCATCTTCTACTACCCTTTCTCATCCCTGGTTTAACCCTGACAAAATCGGCCAACCTCTTGGTTGGGCGTTCATTAGATATTCCCCTTCCGACCGGTATGATCATCCTCCGCGAGACTGTTACCCTTTCTTCGAGGTCCAGTTTAAGCTCGGGTTACGTTTTCCTTTGAACCGTGATATAATCCGCATCTGCGAGTGGTTCTCGCTTCCCTTGCATCAACTTCCTCCTAACGCCATCCGTTTCATCACCACTTTCATCATCCTTTGTCACATCCGTCTAGGTCGATTCGACCTAGACTTCTTCCATTATTGTTACTGCCCCTCTAAACTGGGCTGGGGTCTCTACTTGAAAAGCCGCAATGGTGCGCACTTCATTAATGACATCCCCTCCAACCTTCCCAAGTGGAGCGATAAGTTCATCTTCATTCGACCTGACGTCCATTTACCTTGGCCTTTCGTCCCTTGGATCAAGGATGTTTCGAAAGAGGCAGCCTCGGCCCCTCCAGCAAACCCCCTCTTCAACCAACGGATCCATACCTAGAATTCCAAGACCGTTGCGTCTGAAAAACTTCTTTGTGATGACAATCTTCTTCACTTTTGTGGTCTACTTACCCACAAAACCTTCTCTCCTCCTACAGAGGAGATTCTCGATCTTGTTCGCATTGACAACGATCCAGGTAATTCTCAACACAATTGCTCGAATGTGTACTTGTATGCTCCTGCTTCTGTCGAAGTGAAAAACTGATATTTATCTTGGTTTCCCTACTGTACTCGTGTAGAGGCTCCTAGTTTTAACATCCCCCAGATGAAAGTTCCTCTGAAGAAGAAATCAGGGGCTGCCGCCGGATCGACCAGCGATAAAGTCGATGGCTCGACTAGCTCCGGCGGATCCCGGCCAGAGTCGCAGCAACAATCGCCCCCACGGTAAACTCCACCGCCTCCTCCTCGATCGCCCTTGCGACAAACTCCTCCTCCTCCACCGCCGCCCAAGGGAACACAACAACCACAACAACAGAAGCAGCTACAACAACAAAAACAGCAAAAATAGCAACAACACCAGTCACAACAGCCCTTGCCGCCCAAACACCAGCAGCAACAGCACCCATCCGCCTCTCAATCGACCACAAAATCCTCAAACTCCTCGAAAACCGTCGATCACCAATCTAAGACCGGTGATCGTCAAAGAACCGTCGACCGCCATCAGAAAGCCGACGGCTGCCATCAGAAGACAGGTCCACGAAACTCCCCACCCAAAGCCAACCTTTAAGGCAGAACTGTCGATAAAGCCTCCGAGCCTAACACATCATCCAAAACCAAAACCCTAGAAAAACTGCCCCTCACCCACCAATCCTCCAAAACCACTCTTGTCGTATCGACCAAAGCTCTGGTCGAATCCGGCAATTGTGATGACGGGGGGCGTGAGTCAGCCTTGGGCAAACGCCGTCGAACTGAGCAGAGCGAGGTCGTTGTCAAGCGGGGGCGCGCTGGCTATCTTCCTCCTGATCCGTTAGCCCCGAAACCGACCTCTCTCTTGTCGGCCTCCGCTAATGAGGTGGCCGACCGCCTCGAGGGTGCCCTCCTCGAGGATGATCGCAAAAAAGCCAACATCACCCTGCCCGAGGTTGGCGATAAACTCGTGCAGTAATACTCTACATTGGTTCTTCTCCTTTTTCATTGTCGATACATACGTTGAATTACCTTGTCTTCTTTGTTGATAGGGCTTGGTTGACTTTTTGCCTCTGGCCAAAGAAGCTCGGGACAGCTCGGGCAAGTCGATCAAGGGTCTCGAGAGCACCATCGGCTATCTGCAGGATAAAAATTCGACCCTCCTGTAGCATAATGCCAAACTCCGCGAGATGCAAACATAACAGAAGACTGAGTTTGACGTCAAGATTAGATCTCTCGACGAAGAGCTCAGTAATAAAGGAAAGGCTCTTGCTGAGAGAGATGCTGCTCTCGCGGCCAAGGAAGCCGCAGTGGCAGAAAAAGAGGCCGCTCTGAAAGAAAGGGAGGCTCTACTGGAGCAAGAACGGATTGCTCGAGCTGGAGCAGAAAAGGCTCGTGCTGAGGCGGAACATGCTCGAGCGGAGGCGAAGAAGGCTCGAGCTGAAGCAGATAAGGCTTGGGCAGATCTGGAGGCCCTTGTGGCCAAAGAGAGGGCTGCCTATGCCGACGAGAAGCAACGCTATGCAAATGCCACTGCTCTTCGAGCAAGGCAGATGCTCTGGGCGACCACAACGGGGCAGCTCTTCCTCCGTGAGCATCGCGCACAAGTGGTGGCTGACTTCATGCAGTCGCCGCAGTATCTGAAGGAGTTGCAAGATTTCGGGGTGGACTACTTTCAGTATGCCCTGCAAAAGGCCGGGGAGCAGATCGCTGAGGACGATTTCGAGCAGCTCGACACCGTGGCTATTTGGGATGCTTTGCCCAAAGTGCCCTCGAGCTTCTGCGGGGACCCTTTTTTGCCACTCGAGCATGAATGGTGGTCAGGGCAACTCGAGAGAACCTTGTCTCGATCGGATGTGCTAAAGAAAACATTCGCTTTGCCCGATGGCGTTATTCCTCCGACTTCTATGTTGATCGCAACGGCTGAGTCTATCAAACGACGCCCACTTAATGAAGCCTGCGACTCGACCTCTGGAACAAGTCACCATCCCGATCCTAATGCCAGCTCGAGCAACGCTGACTCCGTAGCTGCTCCTCCATCTTAGCGTTGTATTTTTCACTTTATCTTTCTTGAATTCAAACTATGTACTTTAACGGATTTTGTAATGATCTCGAAATAGAAATGTTTTGTTTTTAACTTGTTTTGATCTTCAATAATGCTTATTGGTGATTCTGACTTGATATCTTCATTATGGCACCTTGCGACCACTTAGATAGCTTAATCTTATCGTACACAC